CTCCACAGCGTTGAACTGACTCTGAATTTTTTATGTATCAATTTCATTCATTGGTTATACATCACCAGCTTGTAATGAGTGACAAACACATCCTGTTCCTTTCGCTCTGCCTGCTGTGAGTCACACAAACGAACACTGTAGTTCATTTATTCTTGTTTGAGTCACGACAGATAGACAAGGACACAGGGAAATTGTATTCTTTTTTAACATATATCCAAAGTTCTATATTTAGACATGAGAACCAGGTATGGTGAGAGGGAGTTGTAAAGATCAAATCTAAGGAATCTTGATGGGCTGGAGCATAAATTATGTCAATGTTATGCTAGAAATATTTTCATTTGTTTTCTGTCTTTTCAGACAATGGAGAATACCAGTATTGGGAAACAAACATTTTTAAGGACAAATAAATTTATGAACAGATTCTCCTAACACATACAGGTTGCTGTAGACTGTGCACGATATGTTATTCTGGACACTTCCAGTCTCTAACATACTGACACTTGAGAAATGTAGAGAAGGAGGGTGCTCGGTGTGTATTGAGACGGGCAAATGCCATTCCACCTTTTTCAAGTTTCTGAAGGCCATACACCTATAAGCTTGATCTTGTCTGTCTCAGAAGAAGACAAACCTTGGAATGAATTGTTCAAGTGATCCTTTATGAGTGCCTAGAAAAAAGATAAAACATACAACAATGACACCAAATCACATCAAATAAAGCAGAAAAACAGATTGAATTTGATGGTAGTTGACCATGACCTATTTCACTGTTAATGTTGGCATCTTATTTTATCTAATAATAATGAGCCCTTGACACCAAATTCAAGCTGGAACCCTGAATAGGAATTGTAATGGGACAGTTAGACAGGAGCTGGGGACAGGTCCATAACGGAATATTCTATACATACTCAGAGAATCTAAGGCTTGCTAGGAGGCCATACCACAGTTAAAATGGACTCAGATTTTAGGCTCTTAGTTGGTTGGTATCTCTAGCTCAGATCCTAAGGCACATCTCTATTTCTAAACCCACAGAAATAGTAAGATAGTAAATGTTGAGTGTTTGGGTCACTAAGTTTGGAAATAATTTGTCATCCAAAACTAGATGATTAGTGAAGAAAGGGGTGACATTGTCCAAAAAGAAATGTGCTGTTTATTGACTTATGTAACTTTAACCACTACACATCACCTTTAATAATAACGTTTTTTAAAAAATTTTACATGGATGATTAGTTAGGTGCTGGTGGTTTACATCTATAATCTTAGCTACTCAGGAGGCTGAGATCTTAGAATCAAGGTTCAAAAACTAGCCCAGGCAGACAAAAACTGAAAGACTCTAATCTCCAATTAACCAGCAAAAAGCCAGAAGTAGAGATGTGGCTCAAGTGGTAGAGCCTTGAACAAAAAAGCAGAACAAGACCATGAGGCTCTGAGTTCAAGCCCCTGTAGTCACACACACACACACACACACACACACACACACACACACACTCACAAATAGATAATTAATACAATGAATCAGATCCATGTATGAAAAAAATGAATAATTCTTAAAAGCAATGGTGAAATTTTTTAAAAAGAAAATGACATTATTTCACCTTGATACACATTATAAAATATTGAAGTTCATCTCGATTTTATATATAAATTAATTGACTGGGATGAATACAATAAAATTGTGGTAGGGTTATGTCTAAAAAGAAAAAAAGAAAGAAAATGAGGGAAATATAAAAGAAATTAAACTTTGTGGATACTTTATTTCAAGGAGACTTTTAAAGATCCAAAGCAGAGATTAAGAAAAGATCATTTCTAAGTGGTGGATATTTGTCATATTTTTCTCATGTTTTTTTAAATTGTTCCCCTGCAGGAAACATAAATGTAAGGAAAAATTTAATTATGAGCATGTCCAGGCTATGCAAAACATTGTTTATAGTGGGAGGTTCAGATGATTTTACCGGCAAGTTCTAGCACACCTAAGAGGAGCAAATAAACACTGTTATTTGAACTGTTTCCAAGCATAGCGAAAGATCCAGTTATTCCCAGCCCATATTTTATTCCTGGCATGTTTAAACCTATAGTTTGTATCCTGGCAGATGACCTGTGGAAAAGTGTTGGCCAGTTAACTGAGGAATCCATAATTGGAATAATAAAAAAAGTAGATTTTGAGTAGGTCAAAAAAATGAATGGAAAATGGAATTTGAAATCCAAGATATTTTGAGGATTCTGGTAAGGAATTATTTGAAGAGGTATAAGAAGCAAACACTTGAACAGTATACTGTAAGCAACATTGTTGAAAATTCTAAGCAAATACTGAAGTGAGCCTTTCAGATATTGTTGCAAATAATTGAGTTCTAGTCCTTATTTTATCATCTTTGGTCATTGCCAGAGTTCTGTTATAAGAATTTGGAGAAAGAGTTTAGAATCATGGAACCTGTGTATACATAATCTACCTAAGTAGGGTCAGATTGGATTGTTTTTTAACCAAACAAGCCAACCAACCATCCTACCAGCAATGCAAGAAGAATCCCATTAACACATTTGTCCACCTGCCATTTCTCATAGCTGCCATTACGTAGAAGAGGAAGGTACCGGATGAGATTTAAGTGTTTTCCTGTGAATTGTGAGCCAGAGTTCTTTCCTCGCCTTTTGAGGCAGGAAGATAGTTACAGGGTCCACGGTTGCCAGAACCACTTACAAGACCTGCCCATAGATCCCCCCCATGGGTTCACCTCTGCCTAAGGAACACACCAATACCTCTTCAAAAAAGATAACCCCAAAGACTGTCCAAGAGTCCTGATAAAATTCCTGTGGCCAACCTTGTTGACATCATACTCTGCCAACCTGAATGTTTGTCCAGCAAAACAGAGCCCTCGCCCAGTACACATGCTTGGGAGTCAAGGATGATGTCTTTTATAATGACCTTTTGGCACCATGATGCCCAGATCCCAGGTGAAAACTGTTCAATCTCTGTATGGAGCCTGCACACATTCATCCTGATGCGCTCAGACAAACTTGGGCCTGCACTAACACCAATATGTTTCATAAGCCCCGCTTGTCAATCCACCTGTCTATCAGCTTAAGTATGCAAAGGACTGTCCCAGCTCTCTTTTCCTGATTTCCTCCCCACAAATGGCAGGAGTGTTACCCTCGGGTCCGTAGTGCCCACTTTGCCCACTCCTGCTTTTCTTACAGAGACTACTTTTGTTTTCAAATAAACCTATGCTTCCCGGCTGCTTGTCTGTGTCCTACTCCATTTTTTGTTCAAGACACAAAGTATCTAGAACTTAGATGGGAAGCTTCCATCCCCAAATCCTCACCCAGTAACACTTTGGTTTATATTTTTATAATGCAAATTCTCTCTCTCTCTCTCTTTCTCTCTCTCTCTCTCACACACACACACACACACACACACATATACACACACTGAACAGTGATCTTAGGTTATAAAGTGGCTCTCCACCTTTCAATAATGCATTTTTCATCAAACCCAGCAGTCCCCTAGCCCATAAGCTTGTGGACTAGAGGATCGTGGTCTAGGCTAGCCCAGGCAAAAATGTGAGACCCTATCTCAAAACGAATCATAGCACAAAGGATGGAAGCATAACTCAAGTGGTAGAACACCTACCTAAGCTAGTATAAAGCCCAGAATTTAAATCCCAGTATTGATCCCCCCCCAAAAAAAAGAGTGTTGAAAACATAGGGGGTGGGGGGAAGAATAGCACAACATCAACCACAACAACTCTAAAGAGTTTTACATTTTAAACCAGGTGGTACCAGTGGCTCCTGTTTAAGCTGCTTAGGAGGTTGAAATCTGAAGGACTGAGTTTCAAAACAAACCTGAGCAGAAAAATTCATGAGGCTCCATCTCTAAAATAAACACCAAAAGCCAAGCTAGAAGGATGGTTCAAGGGTAAAGCAAAAGCCAAGAAAACATGAAGCCCAGACTTTAAGCCCCATTAATAACTATAAAAAAGTTAAAATTAAAGGGTTTTAACTTTTATTTAAATGAGCCATTAGGTAAATTCATGATTAAAACAAATGCTTTAATTATGTGAATTAACCCTAAGCTGTTCTCCACAGTCAATGCCTCAAAGAATGTTTGGTTGGTTGGTTTGGTTTGAACAAGGTCTCATTATACAGTTAGGGCTGGTCTCAAACTCAAGATTTTCCAGCCTCAACCTCCCCAGTGTTGGGATTACAGATAGGCAACACCATACCAGGCCCTCATCTATGTTGGGTTTTTTTTGGTCAGTCATGGGGCTTGAACTCGTGGCCTGGGTGCTATCCCTGAGCTCTTTTGCTCTAGCACTCTACCACTTTGAACCATGGTGCCACTTCCCCATCTCTATCTTCAATTTCCCAAGAAGTGAAGCCACTCAGCTCAAAAAGGTTCTTGGTGGTTAAAAGGTTGGACACTGGTGTCCAACCTCATCCTTTCTGCTTGAGTGTTAGAGCTCTAAACACCTGCTACCCACGTAGAGCAGTGCAGACCCACGGACTCAGAGGGCTCGGGGTCATTGTGTTCAAATGTGATCTGAAGGAAATCTGAGTAGGGGGTGTATGAAAATGAAATGAAAACACTCCGAGAGTCCTATTTATTATAGTTTACCACTCACATTTTTATTTGTTGTTGGCAGTCTTCTGGAAAACCTGTTAACATTGAAAGAGAAAAAAAACTGGAGAGAAGACTTCTACTGGGATGAAATGAATTGAAAACCTCAGGAAATGCAAGCTGTGGAGCAGCTCATTATTGCTGACACCTTGCCCCTGGTTATGAAGGACCTCATTATGGCTGAGGAGGTCTCTCATCAGTCCTGGAGAGAATGGGAAACTAGACTCCACGCAGCATTTGTGCTTGGCCAGGAGCAGGCACCTTGCAGATGGCTGTACATTTTTAGACAGCAGCATACCCTCGCCAGAAGTGTGAAGAGTTCTCCATCCGGTCCACAGCATGTGGCCTTACAGAAGCTGGATTCACAACTGCTGCACAGTTAGAAAGTTGATCATCAGGTGCTTACTTTGCCTGTGCTGGGAGATTCTGGGCAGTAGCAATTGGAACCATTGCTGGCGGACTTGCCTACACCTGTTACACAGCAAGCTGGCTGGCAGGAAGGGGATTTGCAGCCATTTAAGGTACAGGAAGAGGGTCCACTACAAGATGGCTGGCTAGAAAGTACAGTGCCTTGGGAAGATGATTGGCAAGAGCTCTTCACAAAGCAAGGGGACTGGCAGTGTGTCACAGGCTGGCAGACGCAAGGTGTGGAAGGAACTGTTTGACAGTGAAGCAGCTGACACGGAGAACAAGCAGGGTTGCAAGGACTGAACATACAAGTCAGAGGCTGGCAGGAAACAGGCAGGCAGGGAACTGGTTGGCAAGGTTTGAAAACGTAGCAGATGGGTTGGTAATAAATGGATTTGCCAGATTGGCCTTCACCTCGGGTGGGTTGGCACGAAGCTCCTTGGCAGCAGCCTGGTTCACAGGGTCTTGCCTCACAGATGATTGGAAGGCAAGATGTTTCCGCACAGGAAGTTACTTCGGGGCAGGATGGCTGGCAGGATTTAGCATCACAGCAGACTGGTTGGCCACAAGTGGTCTGGCATGATACAGATGTGCAGACAGGTTTCTGGCAGGAGCTGGCATCACAGGACTTTGTCTGACAACCACTGGATTCCGAGCCGAATGGCTGGCACGAGGCAACTGGACACGGAGACTGCCCATTGCTGGATTCACAGCAGGCTTTGTGGGAGCGTATGGGTTGGCAGAGAAAACCCACACAAGAAGTTTCTGGAAAGCAGGTAGATTGACAAGTGGACTCACAGCCCCTGGGGGTACTGCTGGGTGGCTGATGATTTTCTTGACATGTAACTAGTTGCCATGTCCTGCTGTGGCAGGCACTGGGCAAACAGACAGCATTGCGGAAGCTGCGACCATTGGAGCATGTGGAAACGGTGGGTACCGTTGGAATGGGGGTGGCATTTCCAGGACTACAGGCGTCCTCCATGGTAGTGGCGCTCACCAGGTTGGCAGGTTGCAAACCCAGCCTATCAGAATTGAGGGGCTTTTATAGTGCTCTCCTAGGGGTGTTGGCACCATCCTGAGAGCATCTTTCCTTGTTATTGTTTTTACTCATTTGCATGCAAACATCTGATTAGAAACCTCCAGAGTTTTTCCTTGGTGGGATTGGAATACATTGATGCTGCTCTGGGATGAGCTGTCTCTTTTACAGGTTGCTTCGCAGCCTTATGGAAGCTGGCTTTGCCTCTCTACCCTCTCATCAGGCGGGCTCCACCAAGCTTACCCTGCTCTTCCTCCAGGAATGTAGCTCTGCAGATCCAGACAATCAGGAAGTGAAGCTCTGAACCTATCAGAAGAGAGGGTATCCAAGATGGCAGACAGGAAAATGCACAGTGAGGGTCATCTCTGAGATGACTCTCAGAGATATTTAAGTGTCTCCACTTCTTTTTTTTTTTCTTTGGTCGGTCATGGGGCTTGAACTCTGGGCCTGGGCACTGTCCCTCAGCTTCAAGGCAAACACTCTACCACTTGAGCCACAGCACCACTTCTGGTTTTCTGGTGGTTTATTGGAGATAAGAGTCTCATGGACTTCACTGCCCAGGCTGGCTTTAAACTGCAATCCTCAAGCCGGGCGCTGGTGGCTCACGCCTGTAATCCTAGCTACTCAGGAGGCTGAGATCTGAGGATCACGGTTCAAAGCCAGCCCGGGCAGGAGAGACCATGAGACTCCTATCTCCAATAAATCACCAGAAAACCAGAAGTGG